GTACAATGTATATAAAACATGTACGATTTTATTTCAACTGATAACTTTGAACAGTCTTACTACTATTCTAGTGAACATAGGACAAATTAAAAAAGTAACATTCATTTCTGTGAGAGTTTAACAGTTTGATAGCCAAAAAATGAACAAACAATCCATACTACAAAATTGGGATTTTGGATTTCTTTTTACTGATAGTGCCCTCCCAACTTGACTATCCATGCGGTCTAAATGTAAGCAAATAACAAATAGCTTTTACTCTGCTTATACTAAAACAATTAGAAAAAAATATTACATGGGCTTGTTGGTAACAGTAAAAATATCATCACGAAGAAAATAATAATTTTACTTTAGGTGAGGGATATTTTTACTGTTACTCACAAATCCATGTTTTATTTATCAAATCATTTAAAACTTCAACTAAATCTAACTGTTACAAAATTGGACCAAGAGTAACAATATCTCAACTCCTTACCTTGCAAGTTGAATAAAAAACACGTTATATGATTTATAAACTGTTAATTAGTACTGTTACACTGTAGCAGTACAAATTTCTTTGTCACATGGTACACTTGCTTTAACAGTAAGAAAAACACCTAGTGACCAATGGGAAATTAACATTACAAAATAGTGAGTGGTAATAATATATGATATTATGTTAGTATTAAATATTATTATTATTAATATTATCCATGGTGCTTATTAACAAACATTATCATTTAATATTTTATAATGCGTTTGTTGAAATGCAAACAAACGGTTACTATTATTTGAAAGGTGAAAAATGTGCAGCCTGACTAAGATTAGAACTCGAGACCCTCGGAATACCGTACCGTGGCTCTACCAACTCCCCTGTATTAAAAAATCGTCCTCGAGTTTCAAAGAGTTACAAAGCATTGTAAATTAAACTCTGAGTCACGGCACCCATTTTGCGACAAATGTCTCAGGATGAGAAAATGTACAGTCTGACCAGAACTGGAACCCGTGACCCTCGGATTACAGAACCACGGCTCTACCGACTGAACTATCCGGCCACTTCCACATCATTTCTCCTAAATGTTAACAGTTCTTAACCTTAACATTAACAAGATAAATCAAAGTAATGCACTTAAAAGCCCTTCGCACGTTATATAAAATAAAGTTAATTAAATTTATGTGAGCTCCTTAGCTGTATGCTGAACGAAAATATGCAAAAGGTTAACATCCTTGTAATTGTATGAGTTATATCGCATAAAGTAGGTAAAAATGTTTGGTTAACACTGTGATGAAAGATAAAATAATGCAATAATAAAAGAAACATACTAAATGTGAAATTTCGGATAAAGAATACGTAGTGTTACATTCATCATTAAATTTTAATTAATTATAGATCGCTGTTATCTACCAAGAACAAAATAAACAAAAAAAAAAATGTCTTTCGTTATTGTCCCCAATATCTTTACATGTATTTGGATCAATACTTATTAGATAATTTTTAGAAAATTTACCACAATAATTGAATATCCCATGTTACAAAACTAAAAAGGCGTGAAGAGGTCGTAAAGTGAAGCAAGTTTAGCAATCAATGTACTTTTACTTCTGATTAATTATCCGGAACGACACCGCGGTTTGTCTGTGAAATAAAGCTTAACGCTCACACGCGCTCAAACATTCCAGTGGTGCGTCATTGGTTTTGAACTCTTAAATAAATGCAGATATAGTTTTCTCGATAAATCTATTTAAACTGATAGTACTCCACTGTGGTTCTGTATTGTTTTCGAGATCGGTGTATCATTTGTTACAGGCACTAGTTCAAAATTTTTTTAGAAGATGTAGATACTTGTTTTGTAAAAAATGATGCACTACAATAATTGTGAAGAAATCCTGGCATGATGTTAACATCATTACCTTTCCTTTCGTCTTTAATAAACTATGACCGGGATTGGTGGTTAACATATTGCAAAAATGCATGATTTACTCTTTAGTATAATATAAGGGGGATGAATATTGATAGATTTCTTGCATGTAATTTGTATAACAAACTATATGAAACACATCACACTAACACTGTTTGTTATTTTATATTCATTATTAGTGTAAGGATTACCGTTCTTAACATTCACGTCCAGAAATTCTATATTCATTTTAAACTTACAGGGTATATATATTCAGTTTCATTGTGCGATTTTCAGAATAGATATCTGATAAAAGTAAAGAAGGGCTTTATTTTTAGTATAAATGTACTAGACAAATATTGCCCGGAAAGGTCAAAAATGAATTTAGAGACGTCTTTGTTGCTTTAGGTCATTTAGAAAAAAAGTCTCTGATATCATGTTTACTGCAAAGTGTGAAACAAATGAAAAATGCAATTTCAAAGAATTATATCTATCTATGCAAAATGAAGACCATTTACCTTTTCTCGCATCCAATAAATTTCCATAGCAGCCGTTGATTGATTTCTTATAGCAATGTTTGAATTTTAACATCAAACAGTGACACTTATTGTTAAGAACTATTTAATATAATTAGTTATTATATTATAAGTGATATCAAAATAATATTTTGTGTAGATAGTAATGTTTTGAATAAAAGAGCAATAGAGTATTTATTGTTAATATAGGTGCCTTGTACACGTTATCACCATCTTTGCTTTTTTACTTCATTTATGAGCATTAAAATTTTATACCTAAACATCCTGTAACACAATTTTTTTATGGTTTCATATCATAAATGTGATGCTCAAATTAAGATTGATCAATATTGTAGGTTCCAAAAAGCATTTTTTATAAAGATATCACCGAATTTAACATTTCATGTCAATAAAAGGAGGTAATCAAATATGATTTATTTTCTATAAAGTTTAAGTCAAATTTTACCGTAAGAAATGAATGCACATATTTCTAAAATTAATGATTACACACAATATGCTCAAAATATTATCAGTACATATTTTATATATTCTTTGATTTTTGAAAAAATGTTTTATTTTGCATAGTTATGTACATATATATATTTCACTTAGTGTGGTTTACCACTTTGATCAAAGCAAACAGGATCTTTAAAAAAGCATAAATTATATTTATTTAAATACTCACGCTGAGAATAAAATGCCACTCATTCTGACTCATACAATTTAGTTTTAAATCATTAATATTAATATTATTAATGAATATAATAAAAAGTGATATAGACTTGATAATTAGATCTACAAACATGTTTCATCTAATCATTTGCAAGACTATATGACTCGCAAATTTTATGTGACTCTGTCAGTATCGATGTATTCTAGAGCGAAAAAATATGTCACATAAGACTAACTGGATCATTCAACAGTGAATTTGTCATACATATTTCACTACTTCAGGTGACAACGTAGTCAATTATCACTAACAATACATAAAATGAGATTTTTAGCCTAGAATATGTATCAACCTTTTCTGGACACATTCGTGATTAAATTTTGGAAGCAATTAGGCAAGAAACTATGTTTTAAAACGTTTGAAATTGGTAACTATACCGTTTTATTCTGCTATGAACGTAACCTGTAAATTATCGGTAACGTTCCGCTCCCTGTTGCGGCATCAATGAAGGGAATTGGTAGTTCCATATATATATCCGTTAATTACCAGTTTATTTCTTTTTAGTCGATACTACTCGTAATAAATGTATCATACAAATACTGTGATATTTTATGAATATCTCAACATTATATCGTCTTCCTTTTATTTAGCCTTTTTATAAATTAAGATATTGTCGGCAAAGATGTAACATAAAGAATTTAGCATTGCGGCAAATCGCACGACCACGTGGATGGTTATAACAATGTAGTTGCTATCATTTATGTGTGAAATTACAACCTGATAGATATAAATTTGAGGTTATGGACTTCTCTACGGATTCAAGAGCTTGCTTAACATTCAACATCGTTCTATAACAATGTCAAAAATAACCATACTAAAAACGGACATCTTTTTTATGTAAAAGCTTATACATGACGGGAGATTAGGTGTTCCTGAAACATTTCTAAACTATTTTTACGATAGACTGCGGATGATTATTTCTCTATAAATCAATAGAAAATACATGAAAATATATTATCACTGAATGATTTGAATAAACTGTTCGCCAGTAAATCGAACAGTTCTAATAAACATGGACAAAGTATGAAATTTATTGTTTATCTCAGAAAAAAATGAATCTCTATGCCGTGCATAGATGAACATTCATGATAATAGAAGTCAAGAAGGTCAGATCATATTGATCGAGTAATACCTTTTATTTCTATTATAATGTGTCTATCATTTATATGAATTGGGCGGGAAATTTACAATATTGCTTCTTATTTGTACATCGTAGCACGGACTTAATAGGAGCTCAGTTTTTCATTATTTTGATTTATATCTTGACGGAATTTCATAAACGAATGCACAGGCAGAGTGACACTGGTATAACATAACCATAATGCTGATAACTTCAAAATTGAAAAAAAATTATATACCCCGCAAGCGGTTCGCACGTTAAAAACGTTTCATTACCCCTTCCCCCCTAACCCCAATGAGTGCCCCAATTTTTACCGATAGTCACGTGACATGTGGACAGATTACCAGACGGAAAGTAAATCCCGTAAGATTTGAAGAAATTTCTGCTATCAAATGATATTAATCATCAGCTTTTTAATTAGTCATATATCACTGGGTCATAAAAAGTTGTTAGAGTATGTTAGTGCAACTTGTGACTCCCTTTGGCGCGATATTTGTGTTATAAAATAATTTAGCGTGAAACGTAAGGGTCTGAGAGAGAACAGACGATTTATGTCTGTTTGATGCTGCTCGGACTAACTTTGGATCGGCATAACTGTTTTTAATAATCAAGCAATTTACATGCGGTTTAAATCACATGCAAGGAAATTCATTTAAGGAGGAACCGTGCCAGGAATTTTTGTTTGCTTAATCAGAGACTTAATTATCTTTAATTATGTAATATGTATGGTTAGATAAGTCGCATAAAATGTTTAACGTTATGCAATATTTTTTGAGAGAAAAAAATCTGAGACGCTGTTTCCAAGATGTATTAATTATGTTTATATTCGAAAAGTTTGATGACAAAAAATGACTTTGATATGACGATTTAAAATTTTAGAATTTTTGTTCAAAATCAATTATTTACAAAGGCAATTTTTTTAAATATGTTCTTTTTTATGATCATCAAAGACATTTAATGCATAACATATAATAAATAACAACATTTACGAAAATAAATCGGTTTAAATGACATTTATGTTAGTACCACGGAAAGTTGTTGTCTTAACATTAAAATAAATCGATTTTTTACATACTGTGCCAATATTTTATAACTGCTATGTTGTACAATATATGGAATCTGCTTTGATTTATATTCTTATATTTACGTAGTCGGAAGTGTCAGCATTAGGCACAGATGTATTTTTCAACTCCATATATGTAGTTATCTCTCGAGTCGATGTATTCAGTCGCTCGTATGTACTTGTAGAATGCGCATTGAACTCATCATAAACATTCCTATCTCTCCTGCTTGTATCTAAATCCGTGTAATTGGATGTGACATTGACTCCGACAGTAATACCTAAATCAATGATAATATCGTAGTAAATTTTCATTCTTTTATAAAACTGTCGATGTTATACCAAAATGATGAACAATTTAAAAAAAAAACATGCAAATTAAATGATAGGATACTATTTATGTCATTTGTATAAATATTAAACAGTCATACCATACGGTTTCATTTAGTTACTAGTTTATTTTAATGTTTGAATATGTAAGCATAGACTTTATACGAAAGGTTCACGTTGGCAAGCTTCACTATTAAGATAATTCTCTTTCAAAAACATATACACAGAACAACAGAAACAAACGAAAAGAAAAAGACACGAAAAGTTAAACAAACAGGAAGAAAGGACATTATTCATTTTAAATATTAAATACCAGTTACCTGATTTTGGACTGTCATGACGTGAATGTCTCATATTCCTGAAAATAGTTATTGCTAAGATTCATTTGTCTACACAACAATGATAACAAAGAAGAAAAAACTATTCTATCAGTTATAAGAGTATATTGTTATAAGAGATTTTATATTATTTTCAAGAAAAACTGTCATAGTTATTTGTCATAGTTATTTTGTATTCAAAGGTATCATGCAAAATGAAAAATCAAAACATTCAAAATAAAACATCAAATCCAAAGCCAACGAAATGAAAGCCATTTATCTCATTTGAGGAAATAAATAAGCTTTAAACTTTTATTTAGTACATACATGTTAAGTAAACTATCTGGACAGCAGCTGGTGTTTGTATTTATTGCTCCGATAGTTTATATGAAAAGGTCAGCCAAAAATATCAAAAATTAATTGACCCATAAATGTTTTTATTTTTTTATTTTTGATAATTGTAAACTTATAACATTATGCAATACATAATGTTCAGAGGTATGATATTTAATCTAGAAAATGCGAGGCTCTGTGTTCCTATTAAAATTGTTTTCAATATACACTTTTGTACATGCATGTAGAAAGTTGAATGCCGTTTATACATGTAAATTACTTTAATCAGAAGACACATAGAACTTATGCACACAAAAAATGAAACACACCAAGATAGTTACCGAAGTTTCAAATTTTTGGCATGAACGGATTTATGTTAATTAAATCCGACAGAAACAGCTTTTAAAGTAATCATGATTTTATGATTACATAGACATCATGAATGTATTCAGCCCTTAAAAATATAAATATAGGGACTCAGTTATTGCTTACAAAGTTTGAGACATTGAAATAATGATTTCATACATTGCCCACAAATGATTATTTGTTGTATAGTTCTTACCAAATGCAAAACTCGAACATGTTATATGTTTTATCATAAACGAAAATAACTTTCATTACTTAAATCGTTTGTATCCGATAAAAGCCACAGCAACAAAGGCGAGTGTACCAAATGACGCACCGACTCCTACACCAACTAATAGTCCAGTGTTTGAAGAATGCGTTGTCTTTGTTTCGTCCAGCTTGTAAATGCTTGCTGAAATTGAACAATGATAGTTTACTCTTCTCACAATATCAAATGAAAAATATCAATAAGTGATAATCTGTGATGAAGCTGTATTAAATAAATATGTAACACTATTTTGTCTTCGGCTTAAAAAACAAGCACATCGTTTTAAGAGTATTCATGGTGTTGTTGTAAATCTCATCAATATTGTACATAAATTACGATTTTAAACGGAAAACAAAAGTTCGTGCATGAGTTTGAACATGCAAATGGAAGACTGTAATCAGCTCGTGCATGTGTGACATTGTCATAGTTGCTACCTGGAACACAGCAAATGTAAGATGTCCTTGTGCAAACACACTTTAACAGTTTTAGGCTAACGGACAATGAGGCCTGGCGTTCAGGGAAAACGTAATCACCTCATCATAAAAAATATCAAATTTGTATGAAAACATTCGTTACAATGTGAAAATATACCGTTAAACTAGAACTGCTACTTAAAGCCTTGTTTGTTGTTGATTTATAATTGATGTACGAATGATGCGGAGAAGGAGTTTCTGATGTAAACAGTAAGCGACTTCCAATTTCACCACAATCAGGTTGCAGATTGTTAGCTTATAAAACTCATTTTGGTTGTCTGGATTATTGATTTCAACTAAATAATAGTTATTTTATAGCGTTTTATACAGACACCACATTAACGCTAGAATTGCATTGTTACATGCACTTACTAACAAAATATATTTTCATAGTCACTTTGCAAATATTCGATGGTCGGTAATTATCGGATTCTGAAGTAAACCTTACGGATGTCAATGTATGGCACGACGGTATATGAATAATACCTGGAGTCGCTATGGAACCCAATATATAAATAAAATGTCGCTTGTTCTGTTTTTATGAAATTTATTAAAAGAACGCTAAACTGCTTATGTCTACAGTTATCAGTCCCGACTTATCTTTACTATCGAAACTTATATTGATACATAAGTGTTTTACGAAAGTCTTATTATAAGACGGGAATATTGTTTTAAAAAGTAAATGGTGCGAATAACTGTACCTGATTTAATTGAAAGTACCTGGGGTATTTTGAAAAATATAGAACAATACGTTCCAATAAGCAGTTTAATCTGTTTAATTTTAAGCCTTAAAATACTAGATATGCACTGTTTTCAACTTTTGTACCGTTCAAACATGTAAGTGCTAAAACAAAACCCCCAAATAGGTTTTAACTCGAAATGATGCCATGAACCTTTCAACACATACTTTCAAATGTAATAGCTGTTATTTGTATATCTATGGCATTAACGAGATAAAATATTGCATGTTAAGTGGACAAATATAGCATTAACATGTGTATATATATTAAAACAAAATTAATTAATCCAATATTTTGAATATTTGCAAGTTCCTGAAAAACGTTTAAATATAGCTTATTACAGCTTTAGCGCATGTTTAATACTTAAAGGAGAGTAGAAAGTAGAACCAACCTGAGCATTTCTGTTTTACTTGTGACATGATAAGATTGTTTAAATATTACTTTCACCAATTTCAAAGTATTTCAAATAGATACACAAAGTTATCAATTACCTTTAGTTTTAAAATGCAGACGCTCTGTGTGAAGTGAGTTTCCTTCTATGTTTTTTGCAAACATCTCGATTTTATACTCTTGCAGACTGGAGAGCTCATCTAAAGTATAATTCATATTGATATGACCGTCATCTTTTATTGATTTGTTAAACCATACAAGTTCGTGAATCATTCTGTAGATTATTACAAATGTTTGTTGAAATCCACCATTAAAACCAGGTCGCCATGACAATGTTACCGAAGCGTCTGTAATTGTGTCTTTCATGAGACGGAAGTCTCTTGGTGGCTCTGGTTTATCTGCAAATTCATAAAGATATTTTATGAACTCATAAATTAGAATACTTCCAAAGTTATCTTCAGGCATAGGTTTGACAGTGCATCTTTTCCACATTAAGTATAAATATGCATGGAGTCAGTGTGAGAACTATCATTAAATAGAAATATTTAAATTAATATTTCAACAGAATGTATTCAAATACTAAATTAATACAACATCAATGGTTAACTATTACAATACAGTAACAAAATGTTATAACAACTTACCTGTTGCTTTCAATTCGTAAAAGTGTATATACATTCCAACTGAATTTTCAACATTTACTTTGTAAAGCCCAAAATCCTGTTGAGTTGTGTTCCTTATAGTTATATTGGTTTGGAAATCATTTGAATGTATCATGTATTTATTGTCATTATTAGAAATTGGTACATTTTCCTTAAACCAACTGAACATTGTTTTGTTTGGTTCATCAAGATAATTCCTAGCTTGAAATGGTAGTGTGACATCAACGTTCCGAACTGTTGCCACTTTTTTTACACTTGTGTCGCCAGAGGATGGTATTGGCCTGCCTGCAGATTGTAAAAATAGGTTTCCCATTTGACGTTTATGAATTTGTATAAGATAGGTTATCTAACGTGCATCCAATGTATTTAACAGTTTTATATACAGGTTTATTAATCAAATTAGCATAACAGCAGTGAAAGTTTAAAAGATACATTTTACTTTAGATTCTTACCAGACTTTTAAACATACATTGAATAAATAACGTTTGATTTCTTACTTCTAACGATAAGAATCAACTTTGACTGTGACGTTGACTTTCTTGTGTAGTTGTTTCTTCCGGTACAAATATATTCTCCGGCATCTTTAAATGTCGCATTGCGTAATGTATAACGAGCAATATTTGATTGTGATACTTCAATAATAAAACCACGCCTTGGAGACATTATTTTTAAATCTGACGTAGGATTAGCTTCAGCAATGCATTCAAAGGATGTGTTTTGAGTTTCGTTAACTACAAAGGTTCGACCTGAGCTTACCGTAGATATCGTAAATCTCTTTATTTCCGATGGAACTGAAATAAGAATGTTCTAAAAAAAACATGAATAAAAAACAAGACGGTCTAAATCTATTTATCTATGTTTAGAATCTTAGCCAGGAACAAATAATCGTTTTATTGTATAAAATTTAATTAATATATTATTACCAAATGCATTTATCATTTGTCATCTTATCAGGAAAGCATGCAAATATCTTACAAAACACGTTCAGATGAAATACTTTCAACTCGATATATTTTAAAAAGGGGAAATACACTCGTTCCCCTTTTTAATGCACTATTTTTACATTATTTTCAGCTAAAGTAATGGTATTGTTTTGTGAAAAGTAAAAGACAAACAGCTAAAGTAAACATCCAAATTTTATTTTTTTTTTCTTTTGCAAATGTTTTCGGGGGAACCGTTCCCCCGAAGAAAAAAAGCCATGTACAGAATACAACATGTTTTGATCAATAAAAAGCAATTTTTCAGTAATAAGAGATACATTATGCTTAAGGGGGAACCATTCCCTCATCGAAATAAAAATTAAATTTCATAACTTATCATAACATATTTTCTAAAGGGGAACCGTTCCCCCTTAACAAAATAGATATAACAATTTGATAGAATAAAATGCAATAATTTAGAAATTTAGAGCCATGTAAATGGTAAGAGGGAACCGTTCCCTCCTCAAAATAAAAAAAAAATTTCAAAACTGATCTATAACAAATTTTCTAAAGTGGAACCGTTCCCCCTTAACAAAACAGTTGGTGGTACATGTATTCAATTTGATAGAATGAAATGCAGTAATATAGAAATTGAGAGCCATGTTACCAGTAAGAGGGAACCGTTCCCTCATTGAAATAAAAAATAAATTTCAAAACTTATCTTTAACAAATTTTCTAAAGTGGAACCGTTCCCCATTAACAAGACTGGTACATGTATAACAATTTGATAGAATGAAATGCAGTTATATAGAAATTGAGAGCCATGTTACCGGTAAGAGGGAACCGTTCCCTCATTGAAATAAAAAATAAATTTCAAAACTTATCTATAACAAATTTTCTAAAGTGGAACCGTTCCCCCTTAACAAGACTGGTACATGTATAACAATTTGATAGAATGAAATGCAGTAATATAGAAATTTAGAGCCATGTTACCGGTAAGAGGGAACCGTTCCCTCATCGAAATAAAAAATAAATTTCAAAACTTATCTCTTACACATTCTCTAAAGTGGAACCGTTCCCCCTTAACAAAACAGGTTCAAAAATTTGATAGAATAAAATGCAATAATTTAAGAGCCATGTTACCGGTAGGAGGGAACCGTTCCCTCATCGAAATAGAAAATAAATTTCAAATCTTATTTATAACACATTTCTAGAGTGGAACCGTTCCCCCTTAACAAGACAGATAAAACAATTTGATAGAATAAAATGCAATAATTTAGAAATTCAGAGCCATGTAAATGGTAAGAGGGAACCGTTCCCTCATCGAAATAATTTTTTTTTAAAAAACTTAAGTATGATACATTTTCTAAAATGGAACCGTTCCCCCTTAACAAAACAGAAATAACAATTTGATAGAATAAAATGCAATAATTTAGAAATTCAGAGCCATGTAAATGGTAAGAGGGAACCGTTCCCTCATCGAAATAATTTTTTTTTAAAAACTTAAGTATGATACATTTTCTAAAATGGAACCGTTCCCCCTTAACAAAACAGAAATAACAATTTGATAGAATGAAATGCAGTAATATAGAAATTGAGAGCCATGTTACCGGTAAGAGGGAACCGTTCCCTCATTGAAATAAAAATAAATTTCAAAACTTATCTAATAACAAATTTTCTAAAGTGGAACCGTTCCCCCTTAACAAAACTGGTACATGTATAACAATTTGATAGAATGAAATGCAGTAATATAGAAATTTAGAGCCATGTTACCGGTAAGAGGGAACCGTTCCCTCATCGAAATAGAAAATAAATTTCAAATCTTATTTATAACACATTTTCTAGAGTGGAACCGTTCCCCCTTAACAAGACAGATAAAACAATTTGATAGAATAAAATGCAATAATTTAGAAATTCAGAGCTATGTAAATGGTAAGAGGGAACCGTTCCCTCATCGAAATAATTTTTTTTTTAAAAACTTAAGTATGATACATTTTCTAAAATGGAACCGTTCCCCCTTAACAAAACAGAAATAACAATTTGATAGAATAAAATGCAATAATTTAGAAATTCAGAGCCATGTAAATGGTAAGAGGGAACCGTTCCCTCATCGAAATAATTTTTTTTTTAAAAACTTAAGTATGATACATTTTCTAAAATGGAACCGTTCCCCCTTAACAAAACAGAAATAACAATTTGATAGAATGAAATGCAGTAATATAGAAATTGAGAGCCATGTTACCGGTAAGAGGGAACCGTTCCCTCATTGAAATAAAAAATAAATTTCAAAACTTATCTATAACAAATTTTCTAAAGTGGAACCGTTCCCCCTTAACAAAACTGGTACATGTATAACAATTTGATAGAATGAAATGCAGTAATATAGAAATTTAGAGCCATGTTACCGGTAAGAGGGAACCGTTCCCTCATCGAAATAAAAAATAAATTTCAAAACTTATCTCTTACACATTTTCTAAAGTGGAACCGTTCCCCCTTAACAAAACAGGTTCAAAAATTTGATAGAATAAAATGCAATAATTTAGAATTTTAGAGCCATGTTACCGGTAGGAGGGAACCGTTCCCTCATCGAAATAGAAAATAAATTTCAAATCTTATTTATAACACATTTTCTAGAGTGGAACCGTTCCCCCTTAACAAGACAGATATAACAATTTGATAGAATAAAATGCAATAATTTAGAAATTCAGAGCCATGTAAATGGTAAGAGGGAACCGTTCCCTCATCGAAATAATTTTTTTTTTTAAAAACTTAAGTATGATACATTTTCTAAAATGGAACCGTTCCCCCTTAACAAAACAGAAATAACAATTTGATAGAATAAAATGCAATAATTTAGAAATTTGGAGCAAGGTTACCCATAAGAGGGAACCGTTCCCTCATCAAAATAAAAAATAAATTTCAAAACTTATCACTTACCAATTTTCTAAAGTGGAACCGTTCCCCCTTAACAAAATAGATATAACAATTTGATAGAATAAAATGCAATAATTTAGAAATTTAGAGCAAGGTTACCCGTAAGAGGGAACCGTTCCCTCATCAAAATAAAAAATAAATTTCAAAACTTATCACTTACCAATTTTCTAAAGTGGAACCGTTCCCCGTTAACAAAACAGATATAACAATTAATGCAATAATTTAGAAATTGAGAGCCATGTAAACGGTAAGAGGGAACCCTTCCCTCACCGAAATAAAAAATAAATTTTAAAACTTATATATGACACATTTTCTATAGTGGAACTGTTCCCCCTTAACAAAACAGATATAACAATTAATGCAATAATTTAGAAATTGAGAGCCATGTAAATGGTAAGAGGGAACCCTTCCCTCACCGAAATAAAAAATAAATTTCAAAACTTATATATGACACATTTTCTAAAGTGGAACTGTTCCCCCTTAACAAAATAGATATAACAATTTGATAGAATAAAATGCAATAATTTAGAAATTTAGAGCCAGGTTACCAGTAAGAGGGAACCATTCCCTCCTCAAAATAAAAAATAAATTTCAAAACTTATCTAAAACAAACTTTCTAAAGTGGAACCGTTCCCCTTAACAAAACAGATACATGTATAACAATTTGATAGAATAAAATGCAGTAATATAGAAATTTAGAGCCATGTTACTGGCAAGAGGGAACCATTCCCTCATGACAACTTAACCAAAATTCAATAATTTGAACTTGACAGTCAATGTGATTTAAAGCTCAGGGTCAAGGTCTGTTCAACATTTCAGCATGTCTTGTCCAAATGGTTGTTTTGTCTAAGTTTGAAATACTCCATTGATTACTTACAAAGTTACAGCCAACAAGAGGGCCAAAATGGCCCTAGATCGCTCACCTGACCCATCAAACCCATATTATATTAAACTCCTGTGACCTAGTATTTCATCTGAGATGACACATGTTTGAACTCATCCGAGCAATTACCTAGACAAGCATCCTGACCAAGTTTTATGACAGGTGAGTCAAACATGTGACCACTAGAGTGTTAACAAGGATTTTCCATATTTGAGCAGTGTGACCTAGTTTTTGACCCCAGGTGACCCATATTCAAATTTGACATAAAAATCATCAAAACAAACTTTCAGTCCAGGATATTTGGATGAAAACAGTAGCCATTAGAGTGTTAACAAGATTTTTCTATTTTTAGCTCCTGTGACCTAGTTTTTCATCTGAGATGACCCATGTTCAAACGCATATAAGCAATTACATAGACAAGCATCGTGACAAAATTTGATGATGATTGAGGTAAAAATGTGACCGCAAGAGTGTTAACGAACAAATTTGGACGGACAACGGACATTAAACGATCCTAAAAAGCTCACCCTGAGCAAGCTCAGGTGAGCTAAAAAGAATAACAAAGTTACAGCCAAATAAAGCAAATATCAAGCAAAATTGATAGTTTAAACATTTGACACCGTGACTTGGAAGGTCAAGATATTTTAAGACTCAAGTTCAGTCTGGTCTACTTGAAGGTCTTGTCAAAAGGGTTGTTGTGAAGAAAATGTTAAAGTTTTAGGATGACAACAAGAAAGTAAGGCATGACTGTACATAGCAATAGCTCACACTCTTTTATTCTTAAAAAAAATTGAGCTGAAAACTAACAAGAGCACCGCTAGGCGAAATGGAACTTAAGTTATTCTCCGGAAACTGTTTTCACTTTTAAAGTAATAGTGACCTTGACCTCTGACCTTGTGATCCCAAAATCAATAGTGGTGTTCTACCCAATATGGCCAATCATCCTATAAAGTTTGAATACTGTGTGCCAAATGGAACTTAAGTCATGTTCCGGAAACTGTTTTCAGTTTTAAAGTAATAATGATCTTGACCTCTGACCTTGTGACCCCAAAATCAATAGGGGTCTTCTACCCAATATGGACAATCATCCTATGAAGTTTTTATATTGTGGGCCAAATGAAACTTAAGTTATGTTCCGGAAACTGTTTTCAGTTTTAAAGTAATAATGACCTTGACCTTTGACCTTGTGACCCCAAAATCAATAGGGATTTTCTACCCAATATGGACAATCATCCTATGAAGTTTGAACACTGTGGGCCAAATGGAACTTAAGTTATGCTCCGGTAACTGTTTTCAGTTTTAAGGCAATAGTGACCTTGACCTTGTGACCCCAAAATCAATAGAGGTCTTCTACCCAATATGGACAATCATACTATGAAGTTTGAACACTGTGTGCCAAATGGAACTTAAGTTATGCTCCGGAAACTGTTTTCAGTTCTTGACCTTTGATCTTGTGACCTCAAAATCAATAGGTGTCTTCTACCTATTAATAATATGGACAATCATCCTCGGGTAACAGTATTTTCCTCGGGATGATATTTTTACAGTTACCAACAAACCCATGTGTTATTTATATACTGTTACCCAGTCACACAAGTACCTCTGGGTTCGTACGGAGGAACAGATGCCAGGGGGTATAACATAATATGCCCGAAATTGTTTCGGGCATATTAAAATTCAACACATCATTTCTCCCCAATGAGATTTATCCATCTATAATGTATTAAGTTTCACTAACATGTAGATACCTCCTTTTGGTGGATGGATATATGGACATTCCAACACATTTACTAAGTTGTTATAAAGTTTTGAAAACATAATGATTCCTAGTGTTTTACTGCATTATAATGTTTGTTCATTCAACATGTTGTTAAACATGCACATTTTTGCACTAAAATTGCACCTTTCAACATCTCTCTTTACAGCCATACGGCCATATAGATATTGTTAACAAACAATATTCAACAACCATCTTCAGTATATCAAATGAAAGTTTCAACAAAACTTATGCAAAGTTTAAGCACATGTTCCATCCAAACATGTTTCTGCTCCTCTACGATGAATAGGGAAAATCTTCTTGACAACAATATCTGAAAATAAACAAAAAAACTATTTTACTTTTTTTATATTTCAAAATTTGATAAATAAAGTACTTCATATGATAATTCTTAAATAAATTTAAATTCTGAATAAGATATGCATTGCCTTCAAAAGACAGACATTTATTTAGAGGCCAAATTATTCAAACAAATTTTCTAACTAAACTTAAGATTAATAATTATTTATATCTACAATTGCATATTAATTATAGTCCATATAAAAATTTTTTATTGCATCATTATTTTTTGTGTAAGTGAGAGGTTAAGGACAGGAATCATTGACAAATTTCTTTATAGGGCCAAGCTATTTTTACTTAACAAAATATATGCTCTCTTTAGAGGTGATATATAAAAGAGTAATTGATCCTTAAATTTCCTCAAGACAAGAGGACTGTGATGACTATAGAGTTTCACATGGTTGATGAACAAAACAGGCAAAGAGAATTGTATTTGGTAAAGTACTGTCTAAAGTATCATTTTAGCACATTTTGTAGATATTGTACAAGTACTTACTTAATTTAACTGTGACCAATATATCTAGTTGTTGAAGGTAACCATTTTTATCCAAGATATGACCTGAAATGTGGTTAATATTTACATTATAACAATTAACAAATGCATATTTAATGTGGTCCAAAGGAATGCTGTAGTAACTGGAACAATACTGTCTCAACCAATATCAGATATTTGATGTATATTCAATTCAAAGAACAGAGTTCAGATAAGCAGACAATGGGGTGTGCTTGGCTTAGATAAGTTGACTTCAAATCACTTGCAACTCACTGCTCTGAGTTTGAATACCACTGATGACTCTGTGTACTTTCATGTGAGGAAACTACATAAATCAAACAAGCTTACAGAATGTTGGTTTATCTACTCAGGTACCTGCTCATGCCTGACATAATGCATCACTGCTATGACTTTGACCGAGGGACTTAAGTACAGCACGCAAAACATCATCTACTAATGGTGGCTGCATTAACCAATTCATTTTGAAATCCTATCATTCATGCAGAAGTTAAAACCCTAAAATCCCTTAAACACTACAACAACTTTGTACTTGATAGTCAATTCACTTACATTTTCTTCTTTTGATTAGTTTGTTATCACTTGTCTCCTCCATCACATCTATTTTGCTTGGCTCAGTTTACAGGCTTGGACCCTGAAATTTTAAGCAACTATTTTTTAACTGTTGTACCATTACAAACTAATTCAATTGTGTTATAGTATTTAAATTTTAGGAAAATAATAAGAGTAAATAAATACAGATAAATGCTAAACCTGCTAAATTTCTGAAATAGACTTTGTCTAGCTTTCATTTATAAAACTTCCATTATCAATTTTGTTAGCTAACAATAAAGCCTGGCTCTTTACTGGTAGTAAAGGCTGCAGTGGCTACCATTCCGGCTGACCAGCAGGTTGCTATGAAAGTCAATGGTACTGGTTGCTATAGAAAATAAAATTTTGCTATGGAAGTCACTGGTTCTTATGAAAAGTCTGTAACTGATATGAAAAGAAAAGAAAGCCAACAGTTGCTATGGAAAGATAAAGGTTGCTTTGGAAAATAAGTCACTAGTTGCTATGGATACCACTGGTTACTAAGGATCAAGTTGATGCTGGTAGAAATAATAGGTACATGTTCTTGAGAAATGTATTTCAAGGGTTGTTATGGAAATTACTGTTTATTAAGGGAAGTCAATTTCATCATGGAAAGTCATGGTTGCTATGGCAGTCTCCAGTTAGTATGAAATATCACTAGTTGCTATGGAAAGTAAATGGTTGCTATGGGAGTCATTGGTTGCTTTGTAAAGTCATAGATTGCTACTTAGCAGTCACTGATTGCTATGAAAAGTCACTGGTCCCAGTGTCAGCATTTTCCCCCCTACTTTGTTAATCGTGCCTGGTACCAAACAAATTGGGAAAAATGCATAGCATGCACTCAAATTGAGAATTTAACATAATATACACCAAGCATTCATGGGGAATTTTCTAATCCAGGGAGACATTAGTATTATGCATAATATACACTTTTAATAGGGCTGTCATTGATGGCAAATTTTGTATTGATATATCGAGAGACAAATATCGACGTCACGATACATCGATATATGGACTTTCACAGACAGTGGATACAATAAAAAACATTAATTTTATATATGTGTTATAAATTGGGATCATGGTGTTATCACTGTTTTGCATACTTGTATTACACATTTCAAATACTACAAACTAGCAGAAAGTTCTTTTACTGTTATTCTTGTCACTGACATTTGAAAACGGAGTTTAAAGTTCAAGTTAACCAAGAAAAAAGTGACTTCTCTTATGAGCCAAAATAGATAGGTATAGTTAAACTAACAGAAATATTAATTTTTTCAGTTTGTATCGATATGTGAAAGTGTGTATCGATATTGTATCGGATGATGAATATTGATGATATATCGATATCGCGATAATCAATGACAGCCCTAACTTTTAACCATGTTTTACAAACAATGAGACACTTAACTCTAATGAGTTGTTTTCCTATTTGAATATTAGAAAACGGAGTACATAAATTATATAAATGTTCAGGAGTAAACAATAGAAGACTGGGTACGAATATGGCAATAATTGGGTCATGTGGTTAGACTTATTTTTTCATAGCATATATCACTTAACAATATGGAAGTAATTTACGAATTCTTGCAGGGAATTTTCAACTTTGACCCTAAGGGCAAAAAATCTCTAAGCAAACTAACTGTTACAGTTTCCACCATTATGAACTCGAGAACGGGACCGCAAATTGCGGCGCATATTTTCAATCGTGTATAGGGGTGTCATCGATTCAATCGATATCGGTGTATCAGCGATCTTTGTTATCCGATTCGATATCGATTCCATTTTTTAAATATTGGATATCGAATGCACATATATTTTTAGCTAAAGAGACTTCAGCGAACAGGTTTTATAGAACTGACAGACCTGTTTACTGTCACAAAACGTCAAAATAAAAGCGACATGTAAAGTTATGGATGCCAGAAACATTTTTTTTCTAAAAGTGAAAACGGAAATCAATGCCAAAGTTACCTCCCAGTGTTTTTAACGAATGCTGCCAAATTTCGTTGTAATCTTGCACGTCTGCTAAGTGGATGTCAAGACCCCTCAATTCAGATTTTAAAAAGGGAAAATGCCAAGAAAAAATTGTCAGTGTTTCTTTGTAAAAATTATGATTACAAAAATTAATGTTAAACTTTAATAATTATTCAGGTTCTAAACACTACAATTTGCCAATTAAACCCGACTTTATTAGAGCGGCATGGACGGGATTTAGCATGATCAGTAACTACGTAATAGCAACAACAACAACAAAAGTAAAATGGAAAAGGCTTTAAACGTTATAGTTACTAGTCATTAGTTTTCATTTTTAGCTGTATAAAAAAAGAAACAAATTGTTCAGTTTTCATAGTTTATCTTTTTTGCATTTGTCTATATATAACTGCTTTGTCAGTGTCCTTAGGAAACATTTAAAAAGACTTGAAAGCTAAAATTTAGCCTGGCAATCGATATATCGCTGTATCGCCGATAATTCATTACCGATATATCGATACAAAAATCCTTATCGATGACACCTCTAATCGTGTAACGGTTTTTAAAAACGATTCTGCTACATCTAAATATCTTTTAGTATTATCCGAGTATATGCCCTCAAAAAATATATTATCAAATGGCCGTTATCAAATGAACCTAATCTGTCTCTTTTAAAACTGGTCAAATTTTACGGTATTATAAAACAAGAGCGATCAGTAATCACATGTGTCGCCTCATGATGGCCAATTTCATGTTGGGACAAATTTTGTGACAGACGGACAGTGCACAACTAGACTTGGTACTGATCATTCCTGTAAAGTTTGAATAAAATTGCACCAGTAGTTTATGAGGAGTAGTCCGGACAAGCTTTTGCGTATCTGGCAACACACAGAAAAAAACACCTTTTTATCAAAGGGCCATAACTCGGCCAAAAATCATTCAACCAGAAAACCCGTGCAATATGCGCAAGGACTTGAGCTACAGATCAATCCTGTTAAGTTTCATTGAAATTGCATTTAAGTGGTATAAGAGTCTAGAAGCCCGGACAAACTTTAAAAATAAAAATTATTAAAGGGCCATAACTCTGACAAAAATCATTGAACCGGAAAATGCTGACAATATGCACAACTAGACTTGGTACTGATCATTCCTGTAAAGTTTGGATGAAATTGCACCAGTAGTTTATGAGGAGTAGTCCGGACAAGCTTTTGTGTATCTGGCAACACACAGTAAAAAACACCTTTTTATTAAAGGGCCATAACTCTGACAAAAATCATTGAACCGGAAAATGCTGACAATATGCACAACTAGACTTGGTACTGATCATTCCTGTAAAGTTTGGATGAAATTGCACCAGTAGTTTATGAGGAGTAGTCCGTACAAGTTTTGTGACGGACGGACGGACGGACGGATGTTCTAACAGGAGAGTAATATTGTGGCTACTCGTAGTCTAACTGTTCTCTCTATTGTTCTTTTTAGCCACACAAAAGAAAATAGCCACATAAAAGCATAACGGAATGAATGGGTCAATGACATCAAAGAGAAAGAACAGTTACCATATAATTGTCCCTCTAGCCACATAATTACTGTCCTGTGAGTGCGGACAGACAGACAGACAGACAGACGACGGAGAAGTGATCCCTATATGTCACCACTACTGACCGTAGAGGCGACACAAAAAGGCAAGGAGTGGCATCCGCCATTCGCCGCAATGTTTTCGGCATGAGTTTTTCCCCTTTGGCTACAATTGATTTACTATTTTTTTCAGAATTTTGTTCCCACTATCAGGTATAGTCTGGATATAATGTTCACGGTTTATAGTTAACACGTGTTGAGTCTGTTGACATGTATAGGCGGCATAATAACGGGCGTATATGTGTTTTGATTTGTTAACATGGAGAAAACAGACACTTAAGTAATATGGTCCAACTGATTTTGCCTTTAGAACTGAAAAAAAGGAATATTAAAGGGATATTCAGGCAAAATAATGACAACAATATTAAAATGATCTTATGTACTCAAATCACGCTAAAATGACATTTCTGGAAGTTTCAGCTTGAATTTCTGTTTAAATTCTATATATTTTGGGTTTGAAGCGTAAATATATCTATATATAATGAACAAAATTTAGACGCCAATAGAATCACCAAATAGTTTTTAAACAAGTCAGTTGACTTGAACAAACCATTGAAGTTACAATAACAGATATTGTGGATAT